GAAAGGTAAGCTGCCATTCTAGATTTCTGTATTTGCAAAAATATCCTTCAAACATGAAGGCAGACAGTATAAAGATGTTTACAGAAAATCAAGAATTGAGGGAGTTTATAGTAGATCTGCACTTAAAGAAACACCAAAGGGATTTCTTCAGGCAAATGGAAGATTATCGCAGTTAGTAACACAGAAACGTAAGGAGAAATGAAGAGCAACAGAGTAAGTAAATGTGTTTAAATCTAAAGGAATACTGACCATGCACAATAGTAATAAAACAATAAAGGACGGGAGGTACATGAAGTTAAAATATTCTAAGATCCTAGCATTGTCTAGGAAGTGGTAAAAAGACAAATTTATTTTAGGTACTAAAAAATCAAGGTTGCATGTTGTAATTTTCAGGGTACCCACTACAGAAATACAAACGAAGAATATATAATTAATAACAAAAAATGGAATTTAAAAATGTTTAATAATTCAAAAAGAAGAAAAAAGGGGGGAAAAGGAACATAAAACAAGTAGGACAAATAGAAAACAAATAGTAAGATGGTATAATAGATATAAACTCCAATACATCAGTAATTACGTTCAGAATTAATGAAAATACTCCAGTTAAAAGACAAAGGTTATCAAACAGGATTTTTATTTTAAAAAAACTTACTTGCTGCTTATAAGATTTATAACCACTTTGGAAAAGTGTTTCGCAGTATCTGCTAAGCTAGACACATGTATATACTCTATGACCCAGCAATCCACTTCTTGAAATATACCCACAAGAAAGTATGCATATGTGAACCAGGATGTTTATAGTGCATTACTTGGCCACAAACTAGAAACTACCCAAATATTCATCAATAAAAGAATGAATAAATTCATGCAATTCTATGTATAGCAACAAGAAAGAACAAACTATGCCTACAACATGAATGAATTTCATAAAAATAATGTTTATCAAAAGAAACCAGACACAAAAGAGTACATACTGAATGATTTCATTACTATGAAGTTCAAAAACATGCAAAACTCATCTATGGCGTTACAAGTTAGGATAGTTATTACCTTTGGAGGGGAGTGGTTGGGTGATCAAAAGAGGTTCATGTTCTGTTTCTTCATCTGTCTGATAATGATATGGGTATGTTCATGTATGAAGATTCACCAAGCTGTGTATGTATGACTTGCACATTCCATAGTATATTTCAGTAAAAAGTTTACTTTTTAAAAATATACAAGTAAAATTATTAGAATTGGCAGCAAGGTCAATCTGGTTATATTTTAGGCTATAAGAAACTTAGCTTGATTCTAGAAGGAAAAGATGAATACACTGGTAAGGAAGTATTTGAAGATGCTGAAGAGATGATGAATTAAGCTATTGAAGGATGAAGAAGATATAGGATTCATTTAGCAAAGTGTTCCACATTCCTATTGTAGCCCAAGAGCTTTCTGAGGTGTTGGGGATCCAATGATTAATACTAGGCTCAGTCCCTATTTTCAGAGAGGTCACTGCCTACCGGGTAATGATACCAAGAATGATGATAGTCAATAAAAACTACATGTCTTGAGCACCTTCTTTGTATTGGGCACTATGCTGTGCATTTTTGTCGCTTCTTGCCTAATGTTCACAACAATCCAGTGAATTTTTGTTTTTATTTTCCTGAGGAAACACAGGAAATAAGTTGTCCAAGGTCTCACCACTAAGATAAAAAATTCTCGTCCGACCTCAAAGCCATATTCCTTCTGGTACTTTACCTAGCCATTGGATGGTGACCTAGAAGAGAAAGAATTGTGTGATGAAATTGCAAGTAGAAGTCAAAATAAATTCCAGTGGTGAGGTCTTGGAGAAGGTTATATGCGAGTATAATTTATAGCCAGATTTTCTTTTATTTACTATTTCATTAAGAGCATTTTCCAAAGGAAAGTGCTTGTTGCTAAAATATCCCATCTAACTACCTTTAAGCCACCATAATGGGAAAGTTCTATTGATAGATTCCTACCAGAGTTCAAGCCAAGGTAGTTACATGTGTAATGTCAATACTTATAAAACAGCAGGAAAGAGAATACCTGTACACAGAATAAATTGTACCTTGGGACACCTACCCTCATTGCTAATACAGCTTGGATGGTTTAACTACTAAGTGAAGCAAGCAGTATGAGGCTAGGGAAAAACTCACATCTCACACATCAGGATAATTTTAAGTAGCCCACTGTATTAATTAGGTTATTGTTCCATCTGCTATAACAGTGACCTGAATTAACAATGGCTTAACAAGATCAAAGTTTACTTTCGTTCTTGTTACAATCTGAATGTGATATCATGTGTAATGGTTAGCACTCTGGACTCTGAATGTGATATCATGGCTCCACCTAGGATCCTTCTGTCTTATTGCTGTGTTATTCTTAGGCTGTTTCCATTGTTTACAGGATTAAAGATGGAGAACTACATTCCACCCAGTGGGAAAGGGGAAATACGGTCCAGGGAGCACACTTCTTCCTTTTAAAGGCACAGTTTGCACATTTCACTTCTGCACACACTTCATTATCCAGAAGTTACCAGAAGACTGGGAAATAATCTATCTTGGTGGCCATGTACTCTATGCTATAGAAGAAGCCAAGGTCAAGTACTGGGGACAACTAATGGTCGATATTTTAATTATGAGCTTAGTAAAATCGAGGTTGCTGAATTCAGACTAATATAGCTGACTGTTAAGTTCTGATCTTTGTAGTGGGGCATTCTTCTACTTGTTTATATTAAAAGTGTAATACATGCAGAACTTTAAAATAAAATTAGGTAAGGGGGTGACTCATTTTCTGAATTTGCCCACACTTTCATTTGCAGTAAATCATTTTTGCTTTTCTGAAAAAAAAAAAATTAAAACTAGCTAAAATCTTAGTGATTTCCTCTATACAGACCTAAGAGAATATGGAACATTAATGCCTTATTGACCCTTTATTGACTGGAATTCAGTAAAATCCTCATAGCCTTTGTCCATTCTGGCCAGTGAAACCAAGCTCTTTTAGGCTTACTTTTACTTCTAATGCTAACTAATGAAATTCCAGAACCAACGCTTAAAAATGTATACCTTTATGTGGGCCGGCCGAGTGGCGCGATGGTTAAGAACTGGCTTGGGACGCCAGAGGGCCCCGGTTCGGATCCCACATATGAGGGCCAGTGACACTGCCCTCTACAGCTAAGATGCTGAACAACAGCTCAACCTGGAGCTGGGCTGCTGTGAGTCGCCGGTGACGGCGTAGGCTGCAGCCCCTGTGGCAGTGGGTTGCCATGGGCTACCGTGTGTAGCCAGCAGCCAGCGTGAGCGGCCAGCAGCCGCAGTGAGCGGCCGTCCAGAAGCCGGTGACTGATCTGCCTCGCCCGGGAAGAGCGCAATGATGGTGCCAACTTGGGCCAGTGAAGCAACGTCCTCCACAACTAGACTGAAGAACAAAAACAACAGCAACTTGTCTGTTCCCCTTCCCCAATTCCCCAGCACTGTTCCCATCCCCCCAATTCCCCAATAAAAATCTTAAAAAAAAAATGTATACCTTTATAATGAGCAACAACAACAAAAGAGCCCAAGGCAGAAACAAAGGAAATGCACCTTTACCCCACAACAGTAGAGGAAGAGAGATGGTTGCTTCAAAGAACTGTTTGTTGGGTTGTAGGAAAAGTCATGATGCATTTTTGCAACGAAAAAATACGTCATAACTTTTCCGGCAACCCAATAAATAGTTCAAAGAATGCTTTGATGAGATGTTAAATTCAGAGCATCAATCTATCTAGTTTTCCTGTGAAATATGAAAACTTGTCTAAATAAAAAAATAAACAAAACCCAATCGGTTCAATTTGCTGTGATCAGACTGATCACTGTTTGATCAAGAAAAATATATGTAACTTCTAGAAAAAGAAAGAAAACTTGTCTGAATATTCATAACTTAGCAACATGTTTTCTTCTGTGTTCTTAGAAGTATAATTCTAACAGAAAAATTTTGTTAAACTAAGACTTTTAGAATTTTCACTGCATACTGTGACGATAACCTTAAAGAGAGCTTGTAGGGCCAGCCGAGTGGCTCATTGGGTGAGAGTTGGCTTGGGAGTGCGAGCTCTGAGCACCAGGGCCTGGGGTTCGGATCCCACATGGGCCAGTGACACTGTGCCCTCTACAGCTAAGATGGTGAACAGCAGCTCAACCTGGAGCTGGGCTGCCATGAGTCTCCAGTGATGGCGTAGGCTGCAGCCCTTGTTGCAGCGGGCTGCCGTAAGCTACTGTGAGCTGCCAAGAGCTGCTGTGAGCTGCCGTCCAGTGGCCGGCGACCGATCTTCCTCTGCCGGGAAGAATGCAATGATAATACCAACGTGGGCCAGTGAAGTGACGTCCTCCACAACTAGACTGAAGAATAAAAGGATGGCAACTTGTCTGTTCCCCTTCCTTGATTCCCCAACGCTGTTCCCTCCTCCAATTCCCCAATAAAATCTTAAAAAAAAAAAAAAAGAGATTGTAATTCTTTCTGATTGTCCCTTGATAGTTTGTTGCCTTGGCAATATGCTATAATTTATTAATTTATTATTTATTTTTTCCTTTTTTTCTTTCTTTTTCCTTTTCTTAAAATATGGAACACTTCACAAATTTGCGTGTCATCCTTGTGCAGGAGCAATGCTAATCTTCTCTGTATTGTTCCAATTTCAGTATATGTGCTGCCGAAGCAAGTGTATAATCGTATAATTTATGACTGAATTCCTAAGCAACCCACAGACTTAGAACTTTACTCTGTAAAATCAGAATAGAATCATATGCACAGTTCTCTTTTCCCACATATGCAATGGAGAAAAATTAATTCCTATCACACTTGTCAATTTCTTGTTTTAATAAAGACTGAGAGCCTTGTTACTAAATTAACAAGGGTAATTACCTTTCTTTTCTTTCTGTGAAAATTTAACATTTAATATACGTATCTTTAGGAATTCACGAAATTCTTATTCTCAAGTTATTTAACAATGTTTCTCTTTTTCCATACAGACTGTCCTTCATCCACCTGGGTTCAGTTCCAAGACAGTTGTTACCTTTTTCTTCAAGAAACTATCAAAGTAGAAAGCATAGAGGATGTCAGAAGTCAGTGTACTAACCATGGTAAGGAACATATTCTTTTTGTTTTCTTGCCACAAATCAGTAAATAGTGTTCACCAATTTCTTTTAAAACAGTGGTTTCTGTCATATCTCCCTTTTACTTGGGTCCTTATAACAATTTTATTCTACAGTACACAAGCCACAGGAAGTGGAATTGCCTGTACATTAACTCTTGAGTTGGAAGACAGTTGTTAGACAACACTGTCCAAAGCAGAGTGACAGAATTTTAGCAACAGCAGTGTCTATTTACTCTGTGCCAGGCACTGTGTGCTTAAGCGCAGCATATATTTGAATTGGCTTTAATTATGATAACAAACCTATCAGGTAGTTTATTATTAGCTTCCTTTCATCAAGAGAAGAAATTTAGTTCAGTTATTCGTTCAGGTAATAATTGGCAGAGCCAGGATTCAAACCCAGGTCTGACTGACTTTCGGACCAGAGCTCTTAATTCCTCTGTTATTCTGCCCTGAATGTGCTGTTTCAGGCACGAGTGTGGGCAGAAGTCAGATCGCATGGGACCATGAAGTGAGACTGCGGTCAAGAAGGGTACATTAAAGAAAAATGAGAAAAAGGCTATTTGCTAGATGGTATGCTGTGTTCTCTGGGAAATACAGTTGTAACTTCATATTATGAAATATTTTAAATAAAAATGTTGCTTTTAAAACGGTGTGCTTGGGTAGTCTTTATGCATTTGGTCATTTGGCCCAAAGTGCATCCTTCTTGTTAAGCCTCTAATTGTTGTGATCCTTATCAGCTTAAAAATAAACTATGATGTGAACTAGCACCTTTTTCAACTGAAATATCTATGATGGGAAGATGAGTCTTTGATTCTCTAGTGCTTTTTATTACTGTTAGAGATCTAAAGATCTCTTGATCATTTTATTAAATTTTGTCTTAGGCATCTTCATCATTTCAACATTTAGAAATGTTCTTTACCTAAAAATCACAATTTCTGACAACCCACCAGTATAACATGTTGGAAGACTATCAAATTGTATTTGGGATACTTTAATTAAAATCATATTCACTTATTATAGGAGGACTAAATGTAAGCATAGGAGTTTTTAATCCTGTTAAGTGCATGTAGTACTCGATACATATTTATTGTTTCCTTCTGAAAAACTCTTACCTGCTAAATGGTGTTGAACATTGGCTCTTCGAAAACAAGACAAAATTTTCAATGTCAATTTTGTTTCATTTCAAGAGTATTGAATAATAGAAATTTTGCTGGTCTTACCAGATTTTTTAAATGGGATTTCCCATACAACTATTTTCTATCTCTTAAAAAAAAACCATTTATATTAGGTATACTTAGACATAAACACAGATTTCAATAAACAGAAATTATATTAGAGGCTGAGAGCCAGGAAGAGACATGTTCCGTACTCTATTAGCTTGTATGAACCATAAGGTGAAAGTTCATTGTCCAGCATTAATACTTACTTATCTTAAGCTGTTAATCAACTGCCTACTACTATATAGAAGCACAGTTAATACTTGTGACTGACTTCCTGTACAGCTCAGCTATAGTTAGCTGTATTTGCTATTTTTCTTTAGCAAACAAAGCAAAACAAAATTGAAAACACCCAGCAATTCTGTGGATGATTTCTGATTGCTTGTTTCAATGTCCATTAACTCTATTTTTTCAAGCAGGGTAGCCATTTAGGAGTTTTAAATTGCTATGTACCAATTTGCTTAAGCAATGTGTCTTGTGTCTAAAGAAAAATGTCTTTTTTTCTCCAGTTAAGATGTATAAATTTGGATTATCTTACTGGTATTTTAAATTTTTCTCATATATTTCTGAAAACTTCACCATTTATTTGATATTCCTCTTCATTTACTTCCACTCTGGAAATACCCATTTTATTGATGAATCAGAAAATTAGCTAAAATTAGTTTATAATACTGTTACTTATTTTTGGCTAGGATAGTATTTTGGTTTAAAACAATAGGTAAAAATTAATTCAGTGTTTGCTATGTATGCAGAAGAAAAAGCACAAGGAATACTAGAATATTTAGATTTAGATTTATAAAATCTTCACAGCTATACAAAATTGTATCTTAAACCTATCATGTGTAGAAAATAAGTGACTTGTTACCTTTTGGGCTGCAAAGAGCTGTATTTAGAAATATTTCCAGTGCTTTGTGGTAATTTACTTGATGTTACCTTTCCTTTTTCTTGATACTATTATTCATTTAGGAAAATAACTGTGAGAGGCTAACATTTTTCTTTATTTTGCAACATTTACTTTTAATTTATATATTATTATAATAGAAAAAATAAGTATTTTCAATCTTTCCTGTTTGCGATCTATGAGCAGTGTCACTAGCCATAAAAAGAATTAAAGACCCAAATTACATCTCAGCAGGTAGTGTCATTGGTAATACATTACAAAAAGAAATTTGCTTATGCATGTATATTCTTCAGCGTCTTATGCTGTCATTTGTTAAAAGAAATTGAAAGTGTATCTTATTTGCCTGACATAGTAATTTAAGTTTATACAGTATTTACTTAGATTACAATGTTAAAAATAATTTAAGTTCCACTAGCTGCTACAAGATCAGAGACAAGGATGAAAAACTCATTTCTGAACACTTAATGTCTAAACTATAACCTGGTTAAGTATTTCCCTTGAGGATTTTTCTAGTGTGGCATTTTGGTCACATTTCACAAGTAAGTACAAGTAAGCACTAGGGTAAAAGAGATTAAAAGTCTGTATGACATTTAACAGACAGGAGGCGACAGCAGCTGGAACCATCAGAGGTTTTTAAAATGGAGATAATGACTCAGAGAAGGAATCTTGCTGAATCCTGACTTTGGATTATTGAAAGTTATTATTACATATTTTAAAGGTCAGTCTTATTTTTTTCCTTTAAAGTTTCTTCCTTAATTACACAATTAATGCATGATCACTATAGAAAACTTAGAAAAACACATATGCACATATTTTAAAAATAAAACAAAATTACCCTAAATTGTACCACCCTAAGGAAATGCAGTGAGTTAACATTTCAGTAAGTATCCTTCTAGACTTTCCCCTCACCCCTAGGCAAATATATTTCAATATTTGCTTTAAACACACACACACACACACACACACACACACACACACACACACGGATATTAGGCAAACTATTCTGTAATCTGCATTTTCCCTTTAAAATGTCTTTCCATGGTAGTAAATATAGAATACGTATTTCCTAATAACTGTACATTATTCCACTATATAGACATGCCATAATTGATTTAATCGATCCTCTAATATTGGTTATCAAATTATTTCATCTTTCAGAGTCCTAAGCAATGTGATAAACATTAGCGAGTGTGCCTGTTTTGAGAAAAGCCAAAGGTTGCCTTATCATAATTGTTGGGTCAAAGAATATGTATGTTTTTAAGAGCTTTTGATACATTTTACCAAATTGTCTCCAAAAGACTGTACTAATTTTTACTCCAACTGACCACTTATGAGTTCCTATTTTTCGACACCCAAGACCAACACTGTTTAAAGTCTGATTTTCATTTCTCTACCAGTGATATATTTTTCACATATTTTTTATTACATATCCTTTTGCGAAGATGAATTGCGAAGATGAATCTTAGACTTTTCACAGTCTAAGAACACATTTTTTTTCTATTAGGGTGTATACCTTTTTATTTATAATAGAGCTTTAGTCTGCCTAGTTTGTGATTTTCTTCTTTAACAATATGGTATGTTTTTTGGGACATTTTTGTTCCTATAGTTTTCTTTTCTCTCTGTAGTTAAATTTCTTGGTTAAGGTTCTTTTAAAAGATGTAAAAGTAATAATCTAATACAGATTTTTCTTACCATATCAACATAATAAGAGCTCTTTCTCTTCCCCACTTAACTGTTAACTTATTACAAAAAAATGATTGATTTTAGAGTGATGTCAGATACAGCTTATTTAAGCCTCCTGTCATTCCGAACGTGGTCTCTGTGTCAGCAGCAGCAGCATTTCCTGGGAACTTGTTAGGAATGCACCTTCTCAGGCCCCCATCTCACTCCTCTGTATCAGAAACTGGGAGTGGTGCCCCTCACTGTTTGCACAAACCCAGGTGACTGATGCATACTCAGGTTGGAGAACCACACTGATCTAAGACATTGCAGGCACACATTTTATTGCACTTCACACATGTTGCATTTTTCCAAATGAAAGGTAAGACTCTCCACCAGCAAAAGGATTACAACTTGCTTTATGGGAATTTTGGCTTTATTGCAATCCTCGCTTTATTGCGGTGGTCTGGAACCAACCCAGCATTATCTCCACTCTGTGCCTGTGTTCTGAAGTTTTCAGGAAACTTTGTCGTCAGGATGACTTGGGAAGAACGAAATTCAATAGTAGGAAAGACTTCTTCCTCATCTCTCCATGTATTTTAATTCATTGTAGTACACAAAGCCTCCAAGATAACTTTAAAATACGTGTAGGATCAACAACTTCTTGGAAAATAATAGGAAAGTTGTTACTTTTGTAATTTGGGAGGCTGGAAACTCACATTTCTGAGGAATGTTCTTTTATATTCCTCATTTAGCTGAGTACAGCTGAAAGGATGTTATGTGTTATTTCTGTCTTTCCCAGGGTTTAGCTATACCATCCCCACCAGACTTCTGGTTGCTGTGAGCATAAGCTTTGAAGTCATCATTCATTGTTTTATCTTGCAAAAACATACAATATCACAAGAGAAACCAACTCCACTAGCATTTTCTCATAGGTATTGTCTAATTAAGACAGTGGAATGATTTTTTGATGTGTAAGAGAATCGTTGGGTTAAGAAACAAGGTTAAATACTCCTGGAAAAGTGAAGTTACTGCTAATATTTGTAGGGCACTATGTAGCTTATATAGGTTGTAAGGATGAAAAAAAGTTTTGTGAGACAAAATACACGTGCATGTGCCTGCTGCTCCTTGCTCTTGAACCAGGCGACACTCTCCCAGGAAAAATCAACTATCAAGAGCGAGGATCTCCTTGATCAGTCAGTTTCCTCAACCACGACTTAGTTCTAAGGATGATCAGAGGGACACGGGAAGGTACAGGGTTCAGGTGGCGGGCGCACGGAGGCCGGTCAAGTGAAACTGCTTGTTACTTAAACTTCACCAGGTTTTGGGACTGGCAACTTGCCCTCACATTTTGCAGCTCTCCTGGGGGTGTGGTCATAGCTACTCCTCCCTACATTTGTCAAATGAGGGCAGGAGGGGCCATGATTGCTAGAGGAGGCTGGTAGTGGGAAAAAGAAAAGCTGAGAGATGCATCAAGTGTGTTTAAATGCTAAAGCCTCCCCATGGTGTTTTGTCTCTCTATTGTTTATGATTATCAGCTGGAGGTGAATGAAATAGAGTATAAAATGATTCTGCTCAATTTATCATATCACATCGTTTTACTTTTCTCATAATTATATTCTCTTCAGAAAAGTGCATAATCTTCTCAAGCTGAATTTTTTAGAAATGTAGAAGTGTAATGTGTATTATTATAATGTATTTTATATACTTCAGGTGATTTTCACTGCTTCTGGGAACATGCTGACTTTTTTCCTTCCTAAAATAATTTCAGGAGCGGACATGATAAGCATACATAATGAAGAAGAAAATACTTTTATACTGGATACTTTGAAAAAGCAATGGAAAGGTCCAGATGATATCCTACTAGGCATGTTTTTTGACACGGATGGTAAGTGATACCTCGAGGGATATCACTTTTATTTCCTTAATATTAGTAAAATTGATTACTTTTTTTTAGATTCAATTCTCTAGTTCAAGTTGATGTTCCCTCTGGTCTCCACATGCTGTATTTTCAGTATGCACTCAGGACTTATACCACAGCTTTTGCCAGAGCACCTCAATGTGTTTCACATGTGCGAGCCAAAGTTGATTCTTTTATCAGGATTAAAATGTGGTTCTCAACTCAGTATTTTTATAATATGGTAGGGTTAGAAAAATCAGTATTAGTGTCAATGATTAATAGGATACGGATAGACTGAGCTATCAGGGTTATGTAGTGTACATGTATTTATTGTTACTGTAGAAAATAGAATGTACGTATATAATTATTTTCAAAATGAAATGACTAAGGTCACTATTAATAATTTAACTATATTCTTGGATACTTCCCTTAAAATGTTGTATTATTTTCTTTACAAATGAAATCTTCAGAACCTTCATGAACTGGTACCTTTGATTTTCCTGTACACAGGATATATTCCTCCTAATTTAAATCCTGCAACCGAAAGTTTAGACCAGACATACTTTAGTAGTAACTTCCCACCTTTAATCCTAGGCCCTTTTCTTTGGCTTTCTTTTATACTGTGATAATGTTGAAAATATTCTTAACTGACAGATGAGCGTTTCAAGTGGTTTGATAAGTCAAACATGACATTTGATAAGTGGGCAGACCAAGATGGTGAGGAAGATCTAGTTGACACCTGTGCCTTTCTGCACACCATCACTGGCGAATGGAAAAAGGGAAATTGTGAAGTTCCTTCTGTGCAAGGAACCCTTTGTAAAGCAGCTAGTAAGTATAATTGAAGACCTTTTCCCATTCTAAGAGGGGTGGGAAAGTAGGGCTGGTTTTAAACTAATTTTCTTTAAGTGTGCCTCAATACAGGGAAAACGACTTCAGAATATATTAGGATGGTTTGTTCCGAAGTCTCTTGGAAGTCAAACATGTAATTCTTTTACACTTCAGAGGTAGGGCTGGATCCAGTGAACCATGCATACTTTTATTCTATCTGCTTATTCTTAGAGCTTGTAAGAGGTCAAAATTTCTTCCGTTGTTCAAAGAAATTAGCATAGCTTCTTTGCATGTGATTTGATTGAACATTGGGGTGGGGGTGGGGTGCGAGGAGGATAATGTTTGATTCCAGAATTCTCAAGATTCCAGAATTCTAATGTTAGTTTACGAAGAAGTTGATTCTGTACAAGAACTAATATCTTTTGTATAAGCAAAGAAAAATTGTACTGTAGTTTATAATTTATTCTAGATTGAAATATAAGTTTTTTGACCCATCAGAGTGCTTTCTAGTGAAAATCATCCTGTCCCACCACATTTTGTTGTTATTATTAAACATTAGATAAAGTTTATTCTAAGTTTTAGAAAGAACTGTTTTCTCTTTAAAGACACTTAAAATTTCAAAATACGATTTTGGGATGCTTGAAACATGACACAGCCATTTCCTTACTTTGCATCCTTAGTATTCCCCGCTTCTACTTCAGCATGTAAACCAAAACTGTACATCTGCATCTGATTATTTCCTTTCTTTACATCTGGAATTAGATACATTTTTTTTTACTTGCTTCAGCAGAGTTCTTGACTAGTTTTATGGTGATTATATTCAATCTGTCATAGTTTCATGGTAGTAGCATTCTAGCATTCAAATTCTAGTATTTATGGGATTAAAAAAATTTTTTTTTATGTATGTGCCTCGGGGCACCATTGTAAAAACCAAGTTTTTCATTAAACTGTAACTCGGAAACATCAGAAATAGTGAGCAAATCCTTACTAATGAGGTAAAGACACAGTTGTATATTTTATTACTATGTTTTTCTACACTCTCCAACTAAAATCCTATTTCCCTTACCTCATGGTTGTCTTTTTCTTGAGTTCCCATATTCTTTTTCCATCCATCCAAGCTAATGCATTTTGTTAGACTGCTGCATCTTTTTTTAAATAACTAAGTTTAAAACATAACATAGGCAACTGACCAAGAAATAGAAATAAGGATATTAAGCTATTAAATGAATTTTAAGCTATTAAAGGTTCATTTTTTACTGTGAAAGTGTTTAAAGGAAATCTTAGAACAAAGCATACTTAAATATTAACTTTGATTTTTTGTTTTTGTTTTATATTATAGTCCCATATGAAAAGAAGTATTTATCAGGTAAGTAATGGTCTTATGTTAAAATTTTTCCTACAAGTAAAACTACATTAAGATCCTAGCATGTTAAAACACTACCTAAGACCCTTTAAAAAAATAATTTTAACCTAGAGCAACTTTTATAGGATGTAGAAAGGTCTCAGCTTAGAAATAAGACTTGACATTTTAAGTATGATTAACTGCAAGTTACATACAAAATGAACATTTTTTTAAAGCACCAAATTATATTTTCTCATTGAACTCCATTATGTGTTTTTGTGGGAAATGACTGCATCTTTTGTTGAAAAAAATTTCACCTACTTGTAATTGCAATTCATGAAGCCATCTGTCTTAAGGGCTTACTAAATGCATTTTTTTTAAAGTAAAAGGGAATAATATATTTACATGGTTCAAAAAGCAAAAGCATACAAGGCAAGCACTGAAAAGTCCGTCTCCCATTTTGCCCCCATTCTACCTTTACCTTTACTGGGCACCATTTCCGCAAACTGAGATATATGACTTATTTTGCCCCCTTTATTCACTAATATGATTTAGATAGCTCTCCATATCATTACCTATAGATTGATCTTCCTTCTTTTTTACAATTATGCACTTTTCCATTCAATGGATATACATGGTTCTTTAACCAACTCCTGACTACTGTTGGGCTCTTTCCAAATTTTTGCTATTATAAACAATGCTGCAATGAATCAGTCACCTTGTACAAATACATGTTTATCTGAATGACCTGAAATGTAATTGCTAAATTGAAAGCGAATATATAACTTTGATTGATACTATATTGTTTCAGAGTTGTACCATTTAGCATTCCCAGAAGCAACGTATGAGCACCTGCTATGAAAGTTGGATTTTTGCCAATTGGATAGTTTTTAATCTCCATATTTTGAGGTATAAATAACATAGGGTAAAATGCACGAGTCTTAAATGTACAGCTTATGTATATACCTGTGTAACTACCACTCAAATAAAGATATAGAACATTTCTATCATACCATCATACGTCTCCTCATGGCCCATCCCAATAAATGTCTATCTTGCCCCTTTACCCCACAGGTAACCACCCTTTATGCTTCACTATATGTTGAGTTGCTTTTCATGAACTTCACATAAATGTAACTCTAGTTTTTTTCACTCAGGGATTTTTTTAACCCATGTTGTGCATATATATTTTTTCAATTATTGCATAGTGTTTTATAAGTATACCAGCTTGTCTATTCTATTATTTGGATTATTTCTAGTTTGGCACTAATATGATAGAGCTGCCTATGAACATTCTCATGTTTCTTTGGACCAGTGTTCTCATTTTCCTTGAGTATATTCCAAAGAGAATAGCAGGGTCATAGGATACTACTGTTATTAGAAACCATCAAATAATTTTTCAAAATGGTTCCTTCTGCTGGTGTTTTCAGTTCCATTTGCTCTGTCTGTATCCATCCCAGGATGGTACTGTCAGTCTGTTTAATTTTTGCCATTCAGATCGGTGTGTAGTGATCTTAATTTTTTTTTCATTTCCCTGATGAATAATGAGCACCTTTATGTTTATCAGCCATTTGGATATCTTCTTTTGTGAAATGCCTGTTCAAGTCTTTTGCCCTTTTTATTTTTTTCATTTTCTTATTCATTGGTAGCTTGTTTTAAAAAATTCTGGATACAAGTCATTTGTCACCATGTGTACATAAATATTTTCTCTCAGTTTGGGGCTTGCCATGATGTAACTATGATGGGAGAAGAGAAAAGGAGTGCTTAATGAGAGTTCTTGCATATTTTTCACTCTTCTGTAAGAGGAAATATAATTAAAAAAAAAATCAAATAAAGCACAACTTCACACCCAGTAGGTTGGCTATCTAAAAAACAGAAAAGAACAATTTTTGACAAGGATGTGGAGAAATTGGAAGCACCATTGGTGGGAATGTAAATTGGTACATTCATTATGGAAAAAGTATGGTAGCCCCTCAAAAAATTAAAAAGAGTTACCATATGATCCAGCAACTCCACTCCTAGGTATATACCCCAAAGTGAAAGGAATGATCAAAGAGATATCTGTATGCCCATTTTCACAGCAGCAGTATTTATAATAGCCAAAAGATAGAACCAACCCAAATGTCTATCAATGGATGGATAAGCAAAATATAGTATATATACTATCATGGGACATTGTTCAGCCTTAAAAAGGCAATTCTGACACATGGCTACAACATGCATGAACCTGGAGGACATTAAGCTAAGTCACAAAATAAGCCACTCACAAAAGGACAACTATTGTATGATTCCAATTACATGAGGTACCTGGAGTAGTCGGCAACATAGAGACAGAAAGTAGAATGGTGGCTGCCAGGGCCTGGCGGTGGGGGCAGGGGGTTATTAATATAGTTTTAGGTTTGTAAGAGTTCTATGGATGAATGGTGATAACACAGCACAGTGTGAATGTACTTAATGTTACTTAACTGTACACTTAAAAATGGTTAACACAGTAAATTTTGTTATGTGTATTTTACCATGATTATTTTTTTAATCAAGAAAAGCAGTGTAAGCATGTTACTTAGAAGCATGAAAGCAAACAGGAGTAATCTTAAGGAACAGAAATTAGTGGGGAAGGGGGAACATAGTATTTTTCATCGCATATCTTGTAGAACCATTAATTTTACGCTATGTACATGTATACTTAGGGAAAAGATGTATGCAAATTGAAACCTGTGTAGAAAAATCAGATAGGTCTATGATAGGTCTGAAAACCATGCCAGGAATAGTTGAAAGATTTGGCAACATTTTGTCTTTAGACTCCAGCTATCTTTGAATTCACTAAAAGGTATCTCATAAATACGTGTAACTACTACTATATAACACGCTTTCTTCTATTAGACATCGAAGACAAAGCAGTGAATAGAAAAAGCCTCTGCTTTCAAGCTTGTATCTTAGTGGGAAGGGTAAATATATGGTATGTCAGATGGTGACTGTACTGTAGGAAAAAAGCAGGATGAATGAGTACAGGAAAGGGGTGGGGGGAGGATTTATTTACTTTTAGTAGGGTGGCCAGGGAAGGCCACATTTGAGCAGAATGAAGATCTAAAGGAAATGAAGGATGTTTGAAAGCCTGTCATAAGGTTTAGTCTAACTTCATGGAGTAACAGTACCAGAATTGAAGCAACCAGGTGACAGAGTTGAATGGCAACCTCAGTAACAGGGAGTTCCCTTTCATACAAGTGTAGGCTAGAAGACCCCCTTGGGAGCAAACGCGACTGCACTCAGCTATACATGGTGTGGTAACCACACAAGATAGGGGAAGTTAGTCCAAGCTGGATTCAACGAAGGTTTACTGGACATGATCATGAGTTAAATCTCAAAAGGCAAGTAGATATTAATATTAGGCAGGAAGGAGGAAAGATTATCCAAGAGGATGGATCAGAATAAACCTAGGTGAATGTTTGATTTTTTTTTCCTGCCACTTACTAAAGGACTTGGGCAAGTCATTTAAACCCTGTGCCTCAGTTTCTTCATATATAAAAAGGTTAAAAACCTGAGGGTTGTATGTACACAGTAGGCACTCAAATTGGCCTGTAATAATGAGTGCAACAAAGTTTTCTATCATTTTTAAAAGTTTGAGCCTCAGACAATCAGTGTTAGAACTACAGTATGGTGGCAGGAAGAGGACTGGTCAAACTTGGAAAAAGACCTAATGTGTCGTCTTCAATGATTAGTGAATGTAAAGCTAGGATAATTCTGGATTGCATGACTCGGCAGTGGCTATTGGTGTTATCAATTAAGGAAACTCAGGGTAGAACGGACTTGGGAGTACAGTGAGATGCATCAGCTACACACTCATATTTTCATAAAAGGCTTAAATGATTTAGATCAACCAAGCAGTTTTGAGTACACATAGATGATTAGGAGTGAGCAGTTTGAAAAATAAAAGGGAAAGGAGATAGCAATAGTAATTGTTAGGGAAACCAGGTGAGAACGTCTCAAGGCTGAGTGGCTAATATTCCAGCTGCAGTAGATACAAGAATTAAATGATGTACATTTCTGCACTTAGTCATATAGAGATCATTGGTGACCTTAGATTGAGATGATTATATGGATTTGAGAAATGAGAAGGGAGGTTTCCTCAACTTCCTTTTATTAGGCTAAGGAAGATTTCGTTTCTAGCTGAAAGCTGTTTTTGCTCTTTTTAGTTTAAATTAGTATTAGATAATAGTAATGATTTACTCAGTAAAGTGGGCAGGGGATTTCTCCTGTGAGAATCCATTTTCTAATGTAGAACTATCCTTTATTCGATAGAAAACCTATATATTGTTTTAATACACCATTTATTAGTTGCCTCGACTGCCATTCTTCCACATTTTAGTAGCATGCAGCTCGGCCACACGTCACTTGCAGATGTCAAAACACAAGGAGCACATATGCTGACTCTGCCCCACCAGGCTGGATGCTGTCCAGTTCTTAGGTTACTAGGTATTTTATTAAGGTGTGTGATTATGTCTATGAACCACTGTCTCAATTACTGTACTCTTGTAGGCTAATTTTTTTTCTTTCTGAGCTATGATCTTCACTATTTAGACAGTATTGATGATGAATATTGTACATTAATAGATTGTGTTCATTAAAATCAGTTTGTTCACATTGGTAGAGTGCTACACTACAAATGGGCTGTTAAGTTTAATAGAACAATTACTGAAAGAATCCCATTTGAACTCAGTTTACAGAATTCTTGGCGTAACATTTTTCACATAAATGTCTCATAACACACCCACACACCTTAATAAATTGTGATCAGTACAAAATTTTTATTTTAGGTTGAAGAGAATTCAGCTGTGGCTATTTTTCCACTTCTATAAAGAAGACCGTCAATATTTAAAAAATATCAATAGCTTTCCCTCACCTTAATAAATAACTTTTGGCCAGGTGTTTTGCTAAGCTTTAAATTTTCCAAGTCTCACTTTAACAAGCACCAGCAGAAAGCAGCATTATGAGTATATTCAAATAATTACAATGCAAAAAAAATACACCTGTAGAGAAAATAATTCTGGGATTTTTTTCCATATACTTTAACTACTAAAGACAAACACCTTCCTCAAAGCACTGTCCTACTAACTCCTAAACCGAGTAATTTTCCTTGATTGAATTCTTACAGAAAGATTACAAGGGTTTTGAATCGCCAAGAACAGTAACGCTGTACATATTATTTCAGGAATACAAAAATATATAGTTATTTGAATAAATTTAAAAGAAAAAAAGATTTTTTTAGGATCTGAAGAGTGGAGAATTGTAAAATTTACTTGAAATTTTAAAGTATGGCGTTCATGCTAAGAAATATAAATCTTGATAGTAATAAATGTATGTTTTCCTCATCAGTGTGGGCAATTCTCAAAATAGGTAAATGTTTACATGAAGAAACTATATTTGTGTCCCCCAAAGTGCCATACTAGAAACTTGTGTATCCCGATTTCCCATTTTTTTTTTGTCTTTTCCTTTTCAGATAACCACATTTTAATATCAACTTTGGTGATTGCTAGCACAGTAATTTTGACAGTTCTGGGAGCAATTGTTTGGTTCCTGTACAAAAGAAATTTGGATTCTGGTTTCACCACAGTTTTTTCAGCTGCATCCCGATCACCTTATAATGATGACTGTGTTTTGGTAGTTGCTGAAGAAAATGAACATGCTGGTCAGTTTGACTGAAGTTTTGGAAATCTCGGATTAAGACATCAAATATACTGACAGATTCCTGTGCAAGATTTTAATATATAACTTGACAATGAAAATTAGAATTATGGTAAATTTCCTTATTTCAGTATCATTCCTTCTCATGTAATAAAAAATTATCTTTGCGTTCATTATAAAAACAGTTTTTGAAAAGGATGATCTTAGATGTTAGTGGTTTTAACCACATCCCCAAATGTTACCTTTCACTTGAATGAGGGAGAAAGCTTAAAGCCCAAGCAGATAAAAATAAAAACCCAGTCTACCTGTCTTACTTGCTCTATCTTCCCTCACATTTAGTTGAACCACCTTATAGTTGGGGGGCGGAAATTTCTACCTACCACATAGTTTTAACAATCACTAGGTATTTAGCAATTTATTAGTAAACATGATACAAGGAATAAACCTGACTTTTAAATAGATTCTATACATTTAGATATTACTTATACTAGTTACTCTGGCAGACAATTCCTGTAATGTTTTTATCTTCCTTTATGATTTAGAGGTAGAAATTTTACAGATTTTAGCACCTCGTATTCCATATAATTCACATAACTTCACAAATTTGATTACTTTTGGGAACACCATTTTGGACAACAAACAGTTATTTAGCACTGACCACAAATGGTTAGAATTTTAATAAAAAATTATACATTTTTTGAAAAAAAAACTACAGCCATGCCAGGAAGTTGGGAAGGCTGACAATAGGGTAATAGTTTTATAACAGTGCCCCTTTAAAGATTTTTCTCCTGTCACCATACCTATTCCTATATGAGGTATCTCATGCTCCCCAAGCACTAATAACTTTTATCATTCAATGACATAAAAACTATGCAAGCAAAAACTGCAGAAAAACACTTGTGTTCTATTGTAGTGATGATCCTCAAAGTTTTCAGTACATTTATTGTATAATTGAAGACAAAGGTGAAAATAATCATTTGGGGGTAAAAAATGAAAATGGAAGAAAGCTGCAACAAGTTACTTTCTTTAGCCTTTACAGTTTAAAAACAGTATTAGAAAAGCTAAAGACTGTATCGAATTCACATAAAATTACTGAGAAACTTCAAAGCTCTGGAAAGTAACTCCCTCTGCCTAACCCATATCCCATCAATGGTCTTATGGAGAATACTTCTCTTACCTGGAAGTACACTATCTCTCAAGTTAACCGAAGGCAAAAAGTCCCAGCTTGTGTCATGTTACCCTTGGCCACCCGAATCAAAAAAAAATCCCTCCTCATAATTAATGGCACTACTCTTAATAAGACATAAATAACTACAAAGTGATGACAGAAGTCTATACAGTGTGGCTATCTGGTACTAAAAAAAACCAAAAACGTCACATCAGCTATATTATACAATTATGCGCTTAAGGGCTTCAAATTTCTAGACTTTTATGTAGTGGTGATTTAGATGTCTACTTTTATTATTGATAGGCTATTAATAGTGGCACTAATAGTGAATATTAGACTGGAATTCCTTCTTGCTTTTCCTATTCAAATTCTACCAGTCCTTTAAGAACTAAGGATGATCTATTGGGTTGTCGGGAAAGTCATGACACATTTTTGCACTGAAAAACATAGAAAAATACATCATGACTTTCTCAACGACCCAATATCTTCCTCAAAATTGTCCAATACAATAGCCACTAGCCACATATGGCTATTTAAATAAAATAAAATATAACTTAAAGTTCAATTCCTCGATTTTATTAGCCACATTTCAGGTGCTCAAAATCACATGCAGTTAATAGCTACCATATTGGGCAATGCAAAGTATACAATATTCCCATTTTCACAGAAAGTTTTACTGACCACTGCTGCTCTAGAATCCCCCCTTCCATGCAACTCACATACAACTGATTTTCTTTTGTTCATTTTGATAACTTTTACCTAATGGCAGCTGTTGCAAAATGGCTCTTAAAAACTGATAATTTTCATGTCTGATTTCATTTTTCAAGCAAGTCCTAGAGGCCCCTGGTAATGAAGTGCTAAACCTTTATGTATCGGAACATCTGTAAACAGGCCCTTGTATCTATTCGGTGGTCAACAAATGGCAGGATCATTCAAGTCTGTATTTTTAATATTAACAAATAACATGCATACTTCTTTACATTCAGAATGTATAATTTGCTTTCTTTAACATCTTGGTTCTAGCTAAAAATGACTGTATAAATTCTTATGTGTGGCAGATATCTAGAGAATAACATTCCTTTTAAATAACACTTTCCTAGGAATTTGCATTCTTTGTAGTGAGTAGTGTATGGTCTCTATTTTTGTTCAAAGTTTAAAAGTGATAACCAATGAAAAGACTTCTTATTCCCTCTAATTCCTCTAATTCATATTTACAGAATATCAAGCTAATACAATATTGAAACACTAAGTGGTGCTAAGGAACTACAAGAATATTATAAAGCTCAAGACACCATCTCTGTCATTTAGCATTTAATATAAAAAACTATTAAAAAATTGTGTATACACCAATAGAATGTTTTCTACCATTTAATTAAAACTTTTAGGTAAGTTTTGTGGGTTAAAGCAGAAGGCAATTTTCATGCTGAGGTCTATTAAAATTATAAATGTTTTAAATTCAAAGCATCCCTAAGAATCCATAGAATAGATACTTAAACTGACATCCTTAAAATTTTGTCTTTTTGCTTTCAATAAAACAATGCAAAGATAACAGGTAAAAGTTGAGCAAATGTTTTAGAAACATTTCTATTTTTCTAGGGAATCAAATATGAAATTTTAATAAAATTCTTGCCTTTAAGGTTTGAAGTCTACTTTGAGCACCAGTTTAAAAGGAAACATCTCAAACTATAAAGTAAATCAATCAGTATACACTTTATTTCGAGCCAAGGTTTTACAATAAGACCAACAAACTAAGGGCAAACTGTTGAGTCATATTTGAGAAATTACATGGTTTATACTTAGGTTCTGAAAAAGAAATGTGTTGCCCATGGCATAAAACTTTATTTAACTTGAGACCACCCGAAGGTGTTTTTAAGTGTATTCTAAGGATGTTGAAGAGAAAATATACTGTTTTAGAAGTATACACAACTCATGATCACAGTGTAGATCTATTCATAGTGGATAGGTACTGTTCACCTGTTTTCCAAAGGTAGTGAAAAATAGTAAGTCACCAAATAAATGCTCAGAATTAGCAAGGTACAGTTAAAAATGACCCGGATTCAAACAGGTTATTTATAGCATATTTATAAAGTGACAACACTTAAAAAACATACTGAAAACCAGTGTTTTAAATTTTGAATGTGGGATTTAAAAATATTCCATTAACTTGAGATTGCAGAAACTTTGTCTTTTTTTTTTTTTTTTTTTACCAAATAGCGTTTGACAATTCTGATATAATTTATAGCTGTAATATTCCTAAAAGGAATATGTACATACCATGGCCTATCAAATATAATCTCCACTTTTTTCAAATCAATACAAAAATTTATCCATCATTTATACATTTTATATTTATATACTTTTTTAAAAGTTAGATTTTATTGCTAAGTGAATTTAGAATTCAAATTAAATTTGGAGACTTAATATGCTCTTCATAACTTACTCCCCATTTTTTTAAACACCGGAAGCAAATGATTATGAGAATGAGACTGCAACTTAAGGCATTTTAAAAAGAAAAATAAAAAGGTGTCATTTAGCATTTTATTTTGAAAGAATATTTTTGTCTTTTTTCACTAACAGGAGACTAAAACACGAACCTTTTTCATAAATATGACTACAGTAATCAGAACACAAAAAAAGGGTTGTCGGCATTGTTTAGATATTTAAAACAAGGGTTAACACTTTCCCACTCACCTAAAAGAAAAATACTTTTGATTACCAGTTTATAAACATCAGTTGCTGGCCATGTTAAAAGGTCCAGCAAGTAGAATTTGAATTCAGCAATACTTGAGAATGAATATATATATATATTATATATACATGCATACATGTATATACATATATATATTCATTTTATAGATAATGTATTCAATAGGCATTCCCCACAAAATTAATTCATACTTAATAGCCAGCTTTAATAAACACTTGTTCACAGATCATCCATTTGTCTTATGTGCAGTTAGGCAATATCAAATGTTCTGTTATGCTCTCCATCTTCTTCAGAATCATCCTCTGAAGCTGTTGAAAGAACACAGGATGATCAAGAATGATTTTCAGGGGGACAAGAATGAAAGTATAAACATGAAGCCAGCACAGCAATGACTTGTAAAATAAAATCCCAATTTAGTATACTGTTTGGTCAAATGACAGGTTATGACAGGGCTAGGGTGGCTTGACTGTGGGTGATGCCCATCCACAAGACCCCCACCCACCCCACATCGTTTTATGTTAGTTTTTATAAAAATGGAAGTGTTTAAAAATGTGGTTCAAGAATGTCTTCTAAAAAGTTTCTGAGATCAATTTGTGTTCATAGTAGCTAATGATATATACACTAGAGAAAAAGTGAACTTAAGGCAAATGCTCTCACACACCTGAGTAAAATCTGGCTTATTACCGCTACATGTTTGATGCATCCATGAGAATGAAAAAAGATGTACATAGAATAACATGTTATGGGCGTTCTTGCAAATTAATTCAAAGCTATGTCTATACAACGCCAAGAAAAAGCTCTGTTTGGTAAAAAAAAAGCTTTATATAGACACAGCCTATGTTGAAATAACTGGATTTAGTAAAAACCTTTCGTTGAGATTATTCCTATGCCTCCACATTGTCAGAAACATCACTTTTCCAACATTTCTGAACTCAATTAAGAGTCATTAGTGGATCTACTTTTTAATATAAAACATCCTGAAATATCTTTAGGAAGGACATAGTAAGTACAAAACTTCATATTCTGTAAATTGCTCTGCATGTTGAGGAAAACGGAAGTTCACTAAAATAAACATCTAACCAGCATTTCCCCTATTATCAAGGGCAGAAAAGTTAAACATATAACTCTTCTTGTGTTAATAACAAATTTAAAAGCACCCAGCAAACAGAATCAAGAAAATTTGATGCTACACGTATAAATGAAACTTTACTTTCCATATTTCAGTGTACTTGTTTACCTTGCAAAAATCTTAAATTCATAAATAATATCAAACATATACTTAGCTCATGAATAAATTCTATGGTATGCTATTATTATGGAGAAGTATTCAAAATAAAAAATAAAATAGCTTTGCAGAGAACTTAATGTTTTCTATTTGATTTACTCTACAGAAGAAAATTCTGTCAGAACCATTTTTCAGAATATATTAATACTCTGGTACTTGGGAGTTAACTTGTAGCACCTATGTCTTTCACTATCAGCTGAGCCTGGGTGTATTTCACCTGCATCATTTTCCTGTCTTGCACAGGTTGGGTGTAGGCAATGCTAATGTTTAGGAAACTAAATTTTAAATGAGAATGTTTCAAAAAACAAAACAAGCTAGGAAAAATGTGCACTGAAACCAATTACTATAATCATATCTGACAAATGATAAAGTGAACTGGCATCTTAAGATGCTTAACCATAGAGTTGGGAGGACTATGGGTGGGGCTGGGCCCTTGCTAACCCTATAATCCTGACTTCCCGTTCATCCTTATAAGGTAATTCTGCAGTTGGGATCATAATAAAGGAATTAGCCATCTTGAAACCAGGGTCTTTTCTGCCTCCACGTGGGCTGCGGGTAGGAGCTCCGTGTAGGAGGTGTGCTTTCCGCACTGCGGTGGTGGTCTTGCTTCTTTTTCTTTTCCCGAATAAACCGTTTCTTTTGTGGATTACTTGGCGTTTTCACCAGTTCAACACAAAGTATAAATTATAATTCACAGAAAAGGAGAGATCTTTGTATTAGAAAACATAAGGGATCTGAACTACAAAGGTATAAAGGAAAAAAAGATTTATACCAAATGAATTCCCGTTTTATATACCATTTGACTCCTTTATGTACCATCATTTTCATATATACTAAAATTCTGAAAAATGCATCATCTGGTTGTACTTCTAATACTTTTAAAACTTAAAAATAATACAGAGTGACAAAAATCCATGTCTTAGAATAATCAAGGAATTAAAAGGTTCTAGGACGACTAAGTCCTCCTCTAACCTTACCTCAAAGGATGCCGTGCTTTCTCTAAAGGTAAAAATGTTATGCCCACTTCAGATAAAACTTCAGGTATTTTGGAGATGAGTATAGAAGGTAAAATATTGGAGAATATATATTTTGAAACACTTCAAAAGAGTGTACTGGAATCTATCTGATCATGGGAGACACTTGATTGGGGGGAAAAAGTACTAGGTAGGGTAATCTTGGATTCCCAGGTACTCTTCCAGAGACACCAATATCTGTGCCCACCTGGTATGAAGCACCTTGGAGCTTGTAGGACTTTGAGAAGAGGGTAAGCTGTACAGATGGCTGTAAAGATTTGTGATTAAGTACCTTCATATAGAAGGCCAGGCAGAAGTCCTAATGCTGGAATGTGATTTTAAGAGACTGGAACTGCTGCTAGAGCTGGCTGCCTATTCAAGGTCCATGAGGACTGAACAAGGAGCAAAAAACCAAAACCAACACCTATGGCTTGTTACAGACTCAGAATTAGGACTCTTTCACCCTTGTTTTCCTACAACTTACCCAGGGAAAACCTTTTATGATCTAACAAAGCTGAATAACAAGTAAAATTTCATACATACACAAAAAGAAATCTAACGGATTAAAAAGTGTGATTTAATTAGTAGTCAAACATGTCTCTTTCATTAAGTGTTAAAATTAAGGTGATCAAAAATAAAATTTAAAATAAAAGTAAAATTTAAGGTATGGAAGTTACATCCTTCCATATTTTAAAATTAACATAATTTTTAAAATGTATGTTTTTAAAAAATGAATGTCAGTTGCCCAGCCCATTTGTCCCAAATTAATTAAGCCTATAAATGAAGCTCTAATTTGATAGAAACAGTGTATACTTAGGTTTTGCTCTGTGGCTTTAATTTGCAAAAGTAAATTCAACAAGTCTGGGGAAGAGAAATTCCACCTACTTTCGAGATCTTCCATATGTGCCTGAAGAGTTCTTGCAAGGTTAATAAACTAGAAACAATGCAGAAAGAAATACAGTAGTTGAAATGTTACAAATGGATCTAAAGAGAATCAGTATAGGAGATTCATTTCTATTTAAAAAGTCAAACATCATTTTAAGCCTTTAAAATAGGGGTCTTTCTCCCCTCATGTGAAAAATTACAAAGCTTAAGGATATTGGTTTTACAATTTTTAAAAGATAAATTATTAGTCAAGTAGAAATAATGTATTAATCATGTAGAAATTGGGAGCAAATACGAAATTTTATCCAATGAAATTCCTCTTGTATAAATATAACACTTCAAAAAATTATGAAGAAAAAATTAAGCATCACAATTTGGAAATAAATAAATACTATTTTAATGGTCAATTTAAAAAATTAAAACAAAAACAAGAATCAATATTTTCCTGCCTAAATTTGATAGCTCTAGAAGTATTACATTTAATTTTGTATTTAAAAAAGAAAATCATAAAAATTATTTGCGCCTTTTTTAACTTGTCTATAGCTTTTACAAACGCATGAATTCAACATATCTTATATGCTTTATGTTTATTCATTCTAAAGAGAAAAGTCACCTTTTTAGAAATCATTTTAGGGCGTTAACTAAATTTAGGTACCCTGATTCTAAAGTACCTTGAAGTCAAGAGATCTTTGCTCAAATTTTGAATGCTCTGACATAGTTCATTCTCTTTTCTCTCAATGAAAATAATGTCAATTGGCTCACAGGTGTAATGTTCACATGATGGTTACAGAGAAATGTTTTACCAATTTAGAATCAGTATTACATACAGTGTAATATTTGATAATTTTAAAAATAAACTTTAGCCCTCACCATAAACTGCTAGTTTTTATCACCAAAATGAACATTTATGTGAAAAGGTTGTTTATGAACACATTTCAAGAGATGTAGGCAGCCCTAGCTTTTGCTACACAAAATGGGAAAGGCGGCCACCAAGTATAAATTTCCCTGGTACACTGAGGCAAACAGTACTTGTAAATACCTAACCAAAAAAAAGGTAGCTTAAATGTTAAATAAAGGTAATAGTGTACAGATTAGTAAACACCAAATAGTCCTTATTTTAGTATGTAATATGTACATACTTAAAAATTAGTACATTGGCAATCTTTTACATGACAGTAACAAGTAAACTGAAGTTTATCTCCCATATTCTCTTGGTTTTTGGAGTTCAATTTCAGGTGTCTAAACTATAATACTGAGGTGTTTTTTGTTTGTTTTTTTTCAATTAAAAAGAGCCCTTTTCCTTAGTGTTTCCAATTCTGTTTTCCCTGAGGTATATTCCAATTACTAAAATAGCTTTATGAGAAAATTAGCCTGCTTGATATAGAAGACAGTAATTGCTATTAAACCTACAATATCTTTATTTTTAAGACACATTTTAATATAACAGAGCTCCCCAAAGGAAACAGAATGTGAACACATAAAACAATACGCTTTCCAAAGCAAACACCTGGCACCCTCCCTTTTCCCCCACGCCAATATACTTACTCGGACACGTGTGCTTGGTTCATTTGTATTTCCCATCATATCAGAAAAGCTTTGTTCGCACAAGTGCAATAACACAACTAGGTAGAGACCAGAGCTGATAAACTCATACTCAGCCTTCAAAAAGGAAGTAAACAAGAGAAAAAGAATATGAAGAATGAAAAATTAGTAGACTCAAGACTGATATTCATAGCATACTGATAAACTAGAGGAAATGTATTCATGTCTAGTTCCTAGTAAGAGATATTGTGCGATCTTATTAAATCAGGAATAAAGGGCTGCCCTTCATCATTTCACAGATTATACTATGCCAAATAGAGTCCAAATAAGTGTGTGAATATCTTCTTTAGTCTCATATAGTCTTCCCTTATGTAATGATTTAAATAAAGTGGGACTTTTAAATCATTTGATGGTAGAATGAATTCTTTGGTTCTCTATAAAGCTCATAACAGATTTCATTGCAAAAATAAATTACTATAAATGTTTACTTAAAAACACCATTTCATCTACAGCTACATCAATATACTATATAACTAAACATATTCTGATAGGTCAAATATTTATATAATGTGATTAATTTAAAGGCTACAGTAATTACAAAAATGAACTAAAAAAGGAAATAGAGTAACTTCCTCAAACAGTTCTTTGATTCCAAACTGGTTTTTTTTGAAGCTAAGAATACAAATCATGAATACAGAGTTATTAAAATCTAAACTGTCCCATAATTTTTATATAGCAAAGTATCTGTAAGTTGTACCATTTTTTGGTAATTAACTCATCTGAAGTTAAGAACTGCATGTTCTTAGTACCAGCTTCAGCAAGTTATCAGATTCTACAGAGTATTCAAGATATTTGAAATTGATTTATTAGTTTCTTTAAATGCGTCACTTACTTTGCTTATTTTTAACTTAAAAGGGAATCATATATCTGTAAGATTAAAAAAATGTTAATGATGGATTTCCAGTCAAGATGGCGGAGTAGGTAAACAATGTTCTCACCTCCTCTCAGGACCACATCAATTACAACAAAGCTACAGAACAACCATCACTGAGAATTGCCTGAAGTCGAGCTGAACCAAAGCCTTACAACTAAGGACAGACAGAAGAAGCTACCTTGAGACTGGTAGGAGGGGCAGAGACACAAAGAGGTCTGGTCCCACACCCGCCTGTGACCATTAAAAATCAGGAGGGATATTTCAGCTGCAGAGGCTCCCCCACCACCCAGAGAAGCAATGGGTCCAGCCCATACCAGGCTCCCCAGCCCAGGGTTCTAGTGCTGTGGAAAGAAGTCCCCGTATCTGCTGGCTGTAAAAACCAGTGGAGATTGTGGATGAGTGAGCCAGAGGGCTGCTGCAGTCCAAGGCACTCCTCTTAAAGGGCCCGCGCATGAACTTACTCCCTGATGGACTTACTTGCTCTGAGCTCCAGGGCTGGGCCAGCAGCTCAAAAGGCATCAGGGACATATGGGGGGAAAACTGAGGGTGAGGGCTGGAGGGGTAGCTTTCTCCCGGAAGGAGTAGCTGGAGGAAGCCATTGTTTCTTTGTGAGCCCTCCCACTCCCTGCATGCTGAGGCAGACAGATGCTATATCTGAGTCTCCATCCAACTGGCTATCACTTTTTGTCTGCCCCACCCTAATTATTCCCTGAGACCCTGCCCTAGCCAACTTTCTGGCACACAATGCTGCTTCCAGTGGCTTTTCCCTACAAACAACTTGTTAGCTCATACTGTAGACTTTCATCAAATCTCTCAAAGGTTCACAAAACCCAAACAAGAAGTAGCTGGCTTTGGCATGTCCCATACATCTGGCTTAATAGCCCTTAGCCCAGCAATAGCAGCAGCCACCCTCGGTTCACAGATTGGCACCTTTAAGCCCAGTGCAGGATTGTTTTGTGGCTCTTACCAAGTGGCCCCGGGCAGGTCACAGGCTGTGGCTAAATTTGGCCTGCAGTGGGTCCCCTCCCAGGAGGTCCCAGGGCTGGCACGCCTGGTGGCCAGCTTCAGATCAAGCCGGAGCTATCACCTGGCTGCCTCCAAGGACAACATACCAGAGGGCAGACTGGGCAGGCCCCAGAACTGCCTAAAGAGAACCGTGCTCTGTGGAATCAGCCCTTGCATCACATCAACTCCACTGTAGTCATGGCCAGTCCCACAACCAATCAGCCCAAGGGTCAATCCCTCCTACTGATGTGCAAACAGCAACCAAGGCTCAAATACAACAGGACAGCCACTTTAAGACTGGGAGGCATAGCAGCTCTACCTGACACGTAGAAGCAAACACACAGAGGCAGCCTAAATGGAAACACGTCCCAAATGAAAAAACAGAACAGAGCTCCAGAAAAATAACTAAACAAATTGGAGACAAGCAATCTACCATATGCAAAGTTTCAAACAATGTTTACAAGGATGCGCAATGATGTCAGTGAGAATTTCAACAAAGAGATAGTAAACATAAAAGTAGAGACAGAATACAAAAAAGAACCAGTGAGAAATAAAGACTACACTAACTGAAATGAAGAATACAGTGGTGGAAATCAAAAGTAGATTAGATGAAGCAGAGGATCATATCAGTAAATTAGAAGGTAGCAAAAAAAACAAAACAAACCCCCCCCCCAAAAAAAACCAAAACAACAAACAAAACAAAACAAAACAATAAAAACAGAAAAGAAAAAAAAATGAGGATAGTTTAAGGGGCCTGTGGGACAACATCAAATGTACCAACATTTGCATCATAGGTATTCCAGAAGGAGAAGAGGAGCAAGGAATTGAAAATATCTATCTGAAGAAATAATGACTGAAAACTTTCCTAACCTGGCAAAGGAAATACATATACATGCCCAGGAAGAACAGAGAGTCCCAAACAAGATGAACCCAAAGAGGCCCACACCAAGACACATCATAATTAAAATGACAAAGGTGAAAGACAAGGAGAGAATCTTAAAAGCAGCAAGAGAAAAGCAGTTGGCTACCTATAAGGAGCTTCCATAAGACTGTCAGCTGATTTCTCAACAGAAGCTTTGCAGGCCAGAAGGGAGCTGCAGGAAATATTCAAAGTGAAGAAAAGCAAGGACCTACAACCAAGATTAATCTACCGAGCAAAGCTATCGTTTAGCATTGAAGGACAGATAAAGAGCTTTCCAGACCAAAAAAAGCTAAAGGAGTTCATCACGACCAAATCAATATTACAAGGAATGTTTGATGGACTTATTTAAGATGAAAAGATCAAAAATATGAAAATGGAAATAATTACTATATATCTATCAACAATACTCTGAATGAAAATAGATGAAATGTTCTAATAAAAAATAGGGTGGCTAAATGGATAAGAAAACAAGGCCCTTACTTATGCTACCTACAAGACTCACTTCAGATTGAAGGGTACACACACAGACTGAAATGAAGGTAAAGGGATGGGAAAAAGATACTTTATGAAAATGGAAACAAACCAACAAAAAGCTGGGGTAGGATACTTACACCAGACAAAACACACTTTAAAACAAAGGCTATAACAAGAGACAAACAAGGACCCAGTAATCCCCTTCTGGGTATTGATCTGAAGAAACCTAAAATGCTACTTTGAGGGGATGTGTGCATCCATGTGTCCATTGCAGCATTGTTTACAATGGCCAAGATGTTGAGGCAGCCTGGGTATCTGTTGATGGATGAATGGATAAAGAGGAGGTGGTGCGTATATACAGTGGAATATTGCTTGGCTATGGATGGGATTGGGTTCTTATCATCTGTGGTGGCATGGATGGACCTGGAGGGTATTGTGCTGAGTGCAGTATGTCAGACAGAGAAAGACAGATGCAATGTGATTTCACTTATATGTGGAATCTAAAGTACAAAATAAACAAAACAGAAACAAATTCATAGATACAGAGAACATTTTGATGGTTGCCAGATGGGAGGGAGTTTGGGGGAGAGTGAAAAAGGTGAAGGGATTAAGAAGTACAAATTGGTCGTTACACAGTTGTTATGGGGGTGTAGGGTATAGCATAAGGAATATAGTGAATAGTATTGTGATAACTATGTATGGTGTCAGATGGGTACTAGATTTATAAGTGTGATAGATGTGAAGGGGTTTGGGTGCAGGGTGAAAAGGTGAAGGGATTGAGAAGTATAAACTGGTAGTTACAAAATAATCATGAGGATGTAAAGTAAAGCACAAGGAATACAGTCAATAATATGGTAATAACTATGTGTAGTGCCAGATGGGTACTAATCAGGGGATCCCTTGTTAAATTATATAAATGTCTAACACCACTATGCTGTACACCTGAAATTAATATAATATTAAATGTCTAAATAAATGAAAGGAAGGAAGGAAAGAAGCAAGGAAGGAAGGAAGGAAGAATTAAAAAATGTTAATGGTTATCACCTTGAAAAAGATGAAGCCACTGGATGAGGAAATACAAACCATATTAAACTAATCATTTAAAATGAGGGTAGCTGGTAGGCCACTAGAATCCATGATTCATAGAGAACAAAGAAGTTAAGGCAGGAAGCTTAATTGAAACTGTCATTTTTACAATGACTCCACCTAACATTTCCTAACACTTCTAAATTACTTAAGATGTAGATCATTAAAATCTTTGGAGGTAAAAACATTCCTGGTTGAACTGAAAAGCCAACAACACAATTAAGAGACATGATGGAGCACCTACAGAAGGAAGAATGGCAGGAGAAAATCATCCTTTAAAACCTACTCTCATTTTGAGAAGACACAAAATAACTTCTTTGCATCACTCCACCTTTCCATATTCTTTCCCCTGTTCTTTAAAATACCAATGCTCCGTTGTCTAGAGAGACTCCTTGGAGATTTAAGAAAATTCCTTGCTTAAAGTGGTATTCTTTTTGGACAACTGGCTCATTAGAGAATAAAACAATAGTTAGTATTAGAGTAGCATTTGTGGTACATCAACTGTCTAATGGTTCATTTACTAGATCAGTAATTCTTAACCTGGGTCTATGCAATTAGCTTCAAAAAATCTGGGAATCCCTTAAGTTATATACAGATTTTGTGTCTGTATATTTGTATTTTGTAAGGAGTGTCCGTGGTCTTAATCTGATTTTCAAAGGGTTCCATTATTCCCAAATTTAATACGTTGTTCACAAATGATCATATACTGCATTATTACATTTATATGAAATATCTAGAATAGGTAAACCCATAAGGACAGAGAGCAGATTGGTAGTTGGTTGCCAGGGGACGTGGGAGGGGGGTAATGGGGAAAAACTGCTTAATGGGTACAGGATTTTCTTTTGGAGAGACGAAAATGTCTTGCAACTAGAGGTGGTGATTACACAATATTGCAAATGTACTGATACCACTGAATTATTCACTTTAAATGGTTTTTGTTATGTGAACTTAATGTCAATAAAAAAAAGTGGGGGTCCATTATTCCTTCATTTAAAGTGCTTTTCAAAAACTCATGCATTCTTTCACCATAATATTTCTTTTTATAACAAATATGCTAAGCACACTTGCATAGTAGAGCTCTAGGATCATCCCTGTAATCTACTTTAACATCTTTGCTTTTCCCCCTAGTTTTCCTTTAAGCTCTTCACATTCTACCTGTATAATTTAAACATCTCAAAAATCAAAAAAAATTAAAGCTATTAAAGAAATAAAAATTAGTGATTAATTCATTTATTGGGAAGGAGGAGTTATAATACTGAAATATCCGAGAAATGAGGAAAAAAATTTGGAAAAACTTAATATGATCAAAGAAACACTGACATTATTCGTTATATAAATAACAGGCTGTAGTGATACAAATACTAAAGGAAAGAGAAAGAACGTGAACTTGGAATAAAAAAGGTTTCATAAGATTAACTTGTTCAACATAAAGTTGGTGGCAGGAGTGAGGAGGGTAAAGGGAACCAGGATAGTAGGAAGAACGTGGGTCAGATATGCATATAAAAATTATTCCTAACACAAAAACACAGAAATAGGATGCAAATCCAGGACTTGGTGTTGGAATGTTTCAGCACTCAGAGGGATTCACAACTGAAGACAGCTCTGGAGAGATATAGTTGGCATGCCTACTCTGAGACCACCTCCCTAAGACTTTATTATTTTCAGGTTAATTTAAAAAGAATATAATGTATTTTATCTTAATAAATTTAAAACCTGTGACTTGGTTATTTGCCTTTCAGTTATAAAAAGTTAGGATGGGAAAAATAAAAATTATAAAATTACAATACCTAATGCAGTAACAGAGAATTATGTGAAGAACATTATTATTACTATTTTTATTATTTTAATGCTGGTTTTCTGACCATGATTTAATCTTTTCTTCAAGAGTTGTCCTTTAAGCATAGAACAGACACTTACCAAATTAGGCAAAATATACTAACTTGTTCATTTGCATGAGCTCTATGTAGTTCATGAATATCAAAATCCTCCAGGTTAAGCTGCAACTTCTCTTTACAAAGTTCACAGGTGGTTACAGCCTCTAATGAAGAACCTGGTAAAAATTAAATAATAAATAAAGCTTAGTTTTGCTATGTCTCCACAAAACATTTTTCCTTGTAAGTTCTCAGCTTAGAATGTAAAAAATCAAAAGGAAGGGGGGGGTGGGGAGGGGGAGGAGGGAGATTGCATTACTGCCATATACCAGTAATGTCTCCTAAAATAGCAACCAACAATACCTGATGTGCATGTCAGGTCCTACTCCATGATATTTAAGCCTCCACCCATTATTACATAGCTATTGTTTCCTCCCAGATACGCATACATTCCTGATCATGGGAAGCTGACAATGGACTGTCATCTGACTTCCTACTTCCTCTTTATTTTGGCAAGATGGCATGAAAACAATGTTTAATAATACAGTATTTCAAACAACTAGCTACACAGACCTATGCCAGCATCTTTGATGCGACAATACCAGGGGTGCCAAAAAAATGTATACACACGACTTGTATGCATCTTTTGTTATTGGTATATATTATTACAATTTTAATACAGTTTTTTCCTTTCTTAAAACGTATATACCTAAGACCTTTTGTGGTTTAAGAAATGTGCAATCCCTAGGCTAAGGAGGGAAAAAAAGGAATCCACTTTTGTTCAGATCAAAACAGCTCCTTTCAGCCATAAAAAGAATGACGTCCTGATACATACTACAACATAGATGAACTTTGAAAACATTATGCTAAGTAAAATAAGGTAGACACAAAAAGAACAAATAATGTACTATTCCATTTATATGAAACATGTAGAATAGACAAATTCATAAAGTAAGTAAATCAGAAGTTATAAAGGATTGGGAAGAGGATGTTACTACTTAACGGATACAGAGTTTCCATTTGGTGTGATGAAGTTTTGGAAATACATAATGGTGATGTTCGCACAACATTCTGGATGCACATAATGTCACCGAACTGTACGCTTAATAATGGTTAAAAGAGCAGATTTTATATGTATTTTACAACAATCTTTTTTAAAAAGCTCGTTCTGTTCCATATGCATTCAACATTTGGTTACTAATCTGGTTACAATTAAGTAGGTAATAGTTTTGTCAAACTAAACATATAGCCACCCCGCTTCCCCTGTGTTTATTTTCAGAAAGAAAAGAGCAAGTAGTAACCCCTATCTTCAAAGAGCTCTTAAAACTCTTAGAATTAGTGTTCCTTAGTAACAGCAATTCTTTAAATAGTAAAATATGGCATAAAGTCCAAGACAGCAGTAGTAACTTATATGCATTCTCTAGAAAATAGCTGAAAGGAAAGTGACTGCTATTCTGAGGAAATGTTGTCTTTACTCAAATTTCAGTAAGATATTTACTATATTTCAAGTGTATGAATAAAACAGTTGTTGCTTCAGGAGTTTAGCACACATGAAGATGCTGAAATTAAAATGCACCTAGAATATTTTTTAATTTTTGAAAATTAATATTGTAACACTGAACTAAATGGATAAGTCCATATTATGAACTGATGGAGAATATAAAGAATATAAAGAAGGCTTTCTCTTATCAGACATTTCTTAAAAGTATTCTCTAATTCAAAAGTAGGAAAACTATGGTGATCACAAAATATGCATATGGACCTTGGAGATCATTTAATACAAATTATTTTACATCTTAGGGCTTCATTTTTCTCATTCATGGAATAAGTGCCTCACAGAAGTTGTTCCCAAAGGTCATACACAGCTGGGAGGAACTCTTTTATCCTTACCTTCTTTAATCCAGGGCTCTTTCCATTATACCCCACCTCATT